AAACCGTAAACATTAGACTTTACGTGCATAGAATTAGATTTTCAGCCCTATTACCCCATGAAGGTTGCGGTAAGAGGGCCGAAAGCTCGAAAATAAATGTATTTTAACGTAGAGAAAAGTCTGTGTATACTTCTGGTAACCTAACAATTGCCCTTCGTAGTCTTATCTTATTATATTAATATAACTGACTAAAGTAGGAAAAACAACATATTTTTGTATTTCATAGAAGAATGAATTATCTAAAACTGTTTAAGTAGGAGAAAATAACAGGTTTCATGTTAAATTTTGTTTATTGTAATAAAATAAAAATGTTGAACTATACAAAGTTATATAACGTAAGTACACTAGAATTGTACGTTGAGAGCTATTCCTCTCAAAAACGTCCAACAAATTGTGATTTTGAAAACCTACAATGTTTGTTATTGATTCTTGAGATAATTCGTTCTTCTATAAAGTATAAGAAATGTGTGTTATTTTTCCTATTTTTGTGTGTTATATTAATATATGTCTGCGGGGGGCAGTTGTCAATATTAGAAGATATGCTTTCGGCTCCAAAAACATTAAAGACTGTACCAGAAACATTAAACAAAAGACTGTATATGAAAAAAAAAACACATTAAAGACAATACCTTAGGCATCAAAAATATTAAATGATAGACTTCAGGCATATAAAATATTAAACACTATGCTTCACATAACAAAATATTAAAGGTGTTGTAAGCTATTTTTTAATGTTTAAAATATTTGCTAAAGGGGTCACGACGTAAAGAACACAAAAATTCACTAAAGTTATGAATCGACAAGGTTTGTGTAATTTGTACAAACAAAGGTAGCATATAAATACGAGTAATCAGTGATAGTTATTTAGTAAGCCAAGCAGTGTATCAGTGATGTTGATCAATTTAGTAGAAGTTATTTAGTTAAGTCAATGAGTATTCAGATAATGATTCAGTTCAATTAGTTCGGTGTCAGAAACTAATATTCAACGTTAGAAGAAAGAGTATCGCGTTTAATTCTACTATTCAGTTAACTGATCAATTAGCCGTGGAATTGTAAAAGTTAAGCCTACATTCGTTTCATAGTTTATGTTGAAATGTTTATGTAATTTAAATTAAGCCTATAAATGATCATGGCTGTAGTAAATGTTTATTGAATAAATAAATTGATTTATTATCGTTACGTAGAATGGAATTGGCATCATTTTTACCAAATAATTAAAAAAGATCCCACCCCACGATAGAACACTTACAACACTGGTGTCAGATATGGAATTATTTTGGTGAAAAGAAAGTAGAATTAAAAATTAAATAAAAACAGACTAAATTATACAGTTGTGAATGAAAGCTTATATAAATGTCAATTACGTAGCTTGCTAGTAAAAGTTCATTAGCTGTTTGCTCATTGTTTAATTTAGGCTTCATTTGAAGGATTACGAATATCTCCTTCACCCGTGGCATAGTCTTGTTTTCGGCTTTACCGATTACTTTGAACATACTGGGTGTTGGGACCATATAAAATTCACTTAATGCATTCCAAACAGTGCTTGAACTGTCCTTGAATTACTGACTAAATTTCAGAATCACAACCCTATCAAGAAGCGAAACAAAATTTTACTAGAAATGATGAAACAATTAGAAGAACAAGGGAAAAAAAAGAGAAACAGAAAATTAGGGTTTTTTGTTTGTTTGTTAAGCACAAAGCTACACAATGAACTATCTGTGCTATGGCAACCACGAAGATGGAACTTTGAACCAGCCTTGTGGAAACATGTTAGATCCTTGGAATCACAAAGAACAGGATAAAAGCCCTACACTCATCTTCTGGAGGCATGCTGGAAATATAGAATTGTACACTTTTAAACCAGTTAACCATTTTAGATGAACGAACGTTATAAAACAAGTAATGGCTGGAGACGGCTTGAATGGGTAATGAAGAAAAACTTTAATATAAGTTTAAAATAACAGCAAATGTACAACGTTTCGATCATCATCAGGTCTTCAGCCATTATTAGTCTCAAAGTGGGTTCCTCGTCACCGAATTTGAGTTATAAAACAAGATCTCCACCGCTACTTATGAGTTAACATGAAGCTTACAAACAACACACCACAGGGAACTTAAAATGCCTGGAAATTCACGTTGCTGAAGAATCAGGCTTTCTGTCGAGACCACTTCCAGAAGATCATCAAGGGTTCACTCGACCAGCTACCTAGACAGAACTCCCTCTGTGACAGGACAGCACATGGTGATAAAGGAAAAGAGGTCATCCATTCTGCATAACATAGCCCTCAGAAAGAAAAACTACCAAAAATAATCTGTGAATGGACAATTTAGTCTACTGTTACATAACAGTATTGTTAAAGATACTCCACAATCCAGGAGGGAGGCAGTATCGTAAGCTATATTTTTGATATTTTAATTTGAGTATTTGTTTGCTAGAGCGCATATGTCATGATGTCATAATGATTCAAAATCTAGAAACTTCATGAGAGTTAAGGGATTGGTAAAATCTAAAAGTTTTGTGTAGTTTGTAGAAATAAGAGTACAATATAAATACAAAATTCAGTGAATTTAGTTACTCAGTTGATGAGTAATGAGTGATTGATTCATTTCAATGTTTGTAGACACTAAGCATTATTGTGTCTATTCAGTTACTCAATGAGTTAGTGTGTTTGTTATTGTTCGATTACTGAGCAATTTTACAAGTAAGTTTTATTTGTTGTTAAGCATAAAGCTACACAATGAATATCTATGTTCTGCCCACCACAAATACTGAAACTTTATTTTTAGCGTTTTTAGCCCTCACACTTACTGCTGAGCTCCAGGAGTCACAGGTAAATATATAAGTTAGGCATACGTTAGTTTCATAGTTTCTGTTCAAGTTTATTTGTGAAGCTAGGCATACCCATTAACATAACCTGTAGCAAACACTATTACAGAAATAAATTTGAAATGTAGTGTATGTCTAACTTGATTGCAAAATTTCCTCATTGGTCAATCTGACTGACTAACTTACTAAGAATAACTGAATGATTACTCATTAATTCACTCACTCTTGTACTTATACCATACTCATACTTCTATATACTACTTGAAAATTCTAGATTCTACCCAGGCTGTAACTTTACTGAAACTTCTAGATCTTGTATCATCATGACATGCTTCCTCTAGCAGCCAAACAATTTCATTAAAATATTAAAAATATAGATTACAACAAAATGTTTAGATCAATCAATGTGTTTACTTACAAGTCAGAGTTTTTCTATATCAGAGGTCCATTTTTAGTAACATTACATCAATGTTCTGTCTTGTAATAATCAGATGTCAAGTTTTATATATGTTTAGATCAATGTGTCAACCTGTAATAATCAGAGGTCAGGTTTTTTGTATGGTTAAATCAATGAATCATCCGGTAGTAATCAGAGTTCAGCTTTTATGTATGTTTAGATCAATTTGTCAACCTGTAATAATCAGAGGTCAGCTTTTATATATGTTTAGATCAGTGTGTCAACCTGTAATAATCAGAGGTCAGGTTTTTTTGCATGCTTAAATCAAACTGTCAATTTGTAATAATCAGAGGTCAGGTTTGTTGTATGTTTAAATCAAATTGGCAATTTGTAATAATCAGTGGTCAGGTTTTTTGTATGTTTAAATCAAATTGTTAATCTGTAATAATCAGAGGTTGGGTTTTTGTATGTTTAGATCAATGTGTCATCTTGTAATAATCAGAAGGCAGTGATTAAACACAAAATAATTCCAAGAAACAGTTGTATCTGTAATACAGATCAAACATAATTCTGGGAAACAGCTGCATTGTAATCCAGGTTAAACATAATTCTGGGAAACAATTGTATTTGTAATCCAGGTTAAACAGAACATAATTCTGGGAAAACAGCTGCATTGTAATTCAGGTTAAACAGAACATAATT